CTCCCAGGCAGGGGTTCCTTGATTGTATAAGGAAGCAGGCTGAGCAAGCCAGGGAAGCAGAGTTTCCCCCATGTTTTGGTTCAGTTTGTGCTTTGACTTCCCTTCTTGGGGTACTGCAACTGTAAGCTGAAGTAGCCCCTTTCTTTCTCCCCAAGCTGCCCTTGGTCATGGCGGTCTTTATCATAGCTGCCCTTGGTCACAGCGGTCTTTATTATAGCTGCCCTTGGTCATGGCGGTCTTTATCATAGCAACACAGTTTTTAAAGTATGTGTTGGTATCAAAGCTAGCAGCTAGAAACTATTCAGTTCTAACAGAATCTTTACTTTTTGTCAAAGAGAATTTTTTTCTGAAGTAATTGGCAGTGCAGTTTAAACAGCATTTGGTTTGACTCAGATGTAACAATAAAAATGCTGTCTACTTTTAATCTCATTCCAAGGCTTAATTTCCTGTGATTATAGCTCTCAGCTTTGAAAATTAGGACTAGCTACTTCAAGCAGGATGTACATAGTGTCCTTTCCTCTACAGAGACCCAAGTCCTCTCTGTCTCTCAGACTGATTAAGTCCACCTCCACAATCACTTGAACTGGGGAGAAAGGAACTTTCTAAATAAAAGGAAGTTGTGATACAGCAAGAGAAGATGTCATGCAAGTGGCAATTAGCATAGCACATGCTACCTCTAACTCTTCTCGGAACCTGTAAGGACTAATGGCAAGCATTTTGGTAACAATTGCTATGCTTTACTGACCATAACACTGTTTATGATTTGTCCTAATAAGTAACTAATACTATGAGGAAATGCATAATTAAAGATGAAGTTAAAGCGGGGAGGGGAAACTTGCTAGCTGAATCAGGGCCATGATTTTGAATTATTTATAGGCCCAATGCTTTCTTTCTTTTTGAATTTATTCTTCTCTCAGATAATACATCCCAAGCACAGTTTTCCCTCTTTCCCCTCCTCCCAGTCCCCCCAACACACACACCACCCCTCAACACAAGTACTTTCATCCAGCAAATTCACTCAGAGATGTACATGGCCAATAACCCAACATGAAAACACTGTGGGGTGTTTGGTTCACTACTCTTATCAAAAATCAGTATCTAAACAGCACCTGGCCCCTACTGCACAAAATCAGCAGGATAGATTACCAAAATGAGGTCCTAATAGGATACCAAAGGGCTAAAGCCAGGGGACTTCTGTTTCAGTGGTACAATATGTTATCAGCATCCAAAATGCAAAACACCCATGGGCTATAAATGAAGACATTTTCTTCAATATACTAATAAAAGTTAGAGGTAATTTAAAAATAGGAACAGACCATTACCATTCCGAAAGTACAGAGCAAAGAAAAACCAGGCTTTTCTTGTTGTTGAGGCAGTAAGCAACTCAGATCACGGATACATATAACCCCAAATGTCAAACAGAACAAGACCTTGGAAAAACTCAATGAAATATATAGTTTGTGTGTCTTTCTACTGTAACAAATGTCCTTAGAAGGAAATATGCCATGCTCTTCAAATGGGAAAAATTACCTGAGAAAAAAGGTGTACATTTACAAATTCTGAAAATGGGAGGTGATGGTTTTGCAAAGTGAGATTAGAGACCATGGGGAGGGGGAAGCATTTTTCTTTATGTCTAGGACTGTAGAAGAGGAAAAGGAAAAGGCAGGGAAGGGAGGAAAGGGAGAATCTAAAGCTTTAGTTTAGATGGCTCAGGTTTTTATTTTTTTAGGGGGAAAATATGGGCAGAGAAGTTGATTATATTTGTTTTTTTTCCCCTGAGACTGGGGGGAAAAATTTAGTCGATTCTAAATGGTATAAAAGGGTTCTCTCAAGACAATAAAGTGTTCAATTACACATTGTTAGAGTTTGTAAAGTACTTACCAGGGCATAAGTTTCCAAAAAATTCCCCAAGTAGGCGACAATACTAATTAATAACTATACCTTATACATTTAGGTGCAAAACTAATCATAGGTAGTCAGAACAGGTAACAAAAGTCTCTCTAATTGTAGCTACTTGGGATAATGGGGCAGGAATTATAAGTTTCCATGCCTACTAGGCTACAGAGTGAGTTCAAGATCAGCCTAGATATCTTAGTGAGATCCTGTCACAGAACCATTACAGACAACCACGACTGCATATAATGCAGAGGTCAACAGATCACAGAGAGCCTAGCCCCAGCAGATATAACTTCAACGCATCTCCTGCACCAAGGACTCTGGGAACATCATGAAAGATGGGGCAGAAAGGTTGAAAGAGCCAGAGGGCCAAGAAGTCCTCTGGAAGGCTGTGTCTCCTAGACATGACTGCCTAAATAAGACCTGAACATGATATTGACAGATATGCAAGAAAAAGATCTCACAGGGGCCTACCCTTATACAAAGAACTGTAGGCAAATAGACACTCCCAGGCACGAGTCCCCTAATTGCTTATCCAATACAGAGTGGACAGGCCAGAATTCATATACACACAAATAAAAATGGGCTCAGCAAGCTGTTTTGATGTCTTTGTTACATACACACACACACCACCACCACCACCACCACCAACAACAACAACAACAACAAAAGCAGCACCACCATCACCAACAATAATCAAAGAAAGGAGGCCATCACTTTGAGAAGAGACAGGTATGGGAACATGGGAGGAACTAGAAGGAGGGGACATGGGAGACGTTGGAGGAAAGGGATAAATGATAAAATTATATTTTAATTAAAATATACTTTTTAAAGTTAGAGAACTGGATTTATGTAGTTTAGTGGTTGAGCATTTACTTAGCTGGTATGGGAACCGAGGCTTAATCACTAATACTGAACAACAAATTAACTTTATGTTTGTACAGATATGCATATGAATGTATTTATATGTATCTCGAGATTACTGATAGGCATACAGCTACCTGTCAGTAAATATTATATTCCTTGCCCCTTCACTAAATCTAGGCCCAGAATTAAACAACTGTCACACTTAAGATGTCTTGAAAACTTTCTTTATGGTATTTGGGCAAATAGTTGTCAAGAAAATAACCTATATTCTTTTCAAACCATTTACATATCCAGATCATTAGTTTACAAGAAGCAGGGGAGCAATTAGTACATCGTGTATGTAAACAAAAGGTACCACTTTCTACAATCATCTTTAGCTCTTTCAACTGAGAAGGCAATCAGCATCTTAGTCAAAGATTGTAAAACACAAAGGATCGTGAAGATTCCTTTTTGCCTACACCTGCCCCACTTCCTTTCCTTTCCAGACATTGTTATTAGTTAAGAATTCATTTTCAGGGTTAGCGAGTGGGTGGGTAGAGGCACTAGCCACCAAGCCTGATGACCTGAGTCCAATCCCATGGAACCACACTGTGGAAGGACAATGACTCGCAAAAGTGTTCTTGGATATTTACATGCTTATCACGGCACTTGCACACCCCCAAACATACTAATTACAGTCTAAATACAATTCTTTTCCAGAAAGAGAAGGTAGGCTTGATTTTGATCTCTTTCAAATGTCTCAATAGATCTTAAACATCAGTTCTTTAATATCTTCACTTATTTTAAAACTTCTGCCTCTGTCGAGAACCATATCCTTTCTTTTTCTTTAGTTAGACTGTTGTATTTCCATTTTCTCCTACAGTTGGAATTTCAGAAGGCATTGAAAGCATTTTCACTATTGGTATATATAATGTGTGTGCACCCAGGACATGTGCGGCAACCTTCTATCTGGTTTGAGATGGAGTCTCTTACTGTTTGCCATTTCACGGGAGTTTTCAGGAATTCCTCTCTCCACATCTCATCTCCTTGAACAAGCCTTGCATTAGAGGTGAATGCTTCTACATCCAGCTTTCTGAAGATGTCAAGAGAAGAATTCAGGTCCCCAGCCTTGAAGGGCAAATGCTTTAACCCTTTAAGCTCTCTGCCCAGCCCCACAATTTTACTTTTGATAATATAGTAGCTTGCGAGGTACACGTCGTCTCTTGAGAGAGATGAGAGATCTACTTTTAAGAAAAATGCCCTAAGTTCTTTTCTTTTCTTTTCTTTTCTTTTTTTTTGTGGTTTTTCGAGACAGGGTTTCTCTGTGGTTTTGGAGCCTGTCCTGGAACTAGCTCTTGTAGACCAGGCTGGTCTCGAACTCACAGAGCTCCTCCTGCCTCTGCCTCCCTAGTGCTGGGATTAAAGGCGTGCGCCACCACCGCCCGGCTCTTTTCTTTACATTCCTACAGAGTTGTCTAATTTCAGAACAGCTGTCTAATACAGTATAACCAGAGCTTTACAAACTGGTCTCACCTAATGCTACATTTAGCTTTCCAAAAGAGCTAAATATAGCAAGTAGTAGTTTCTGATCATCTGAATTAATTCATTTACTTGAAGCTTTTTTTTTTCACATGCCCTGTTTTACTAAACAGAATACCCAAAAAGAATCACATGTTTTTTAAATCATCGACATTTTAGTTCTTTGGATTATTGGATTTGGTTCTTTGCATAGAAGGTTTCATAGGATGCTGGCCTTTACTTCTCAGCAAAGGTCAGCTGGGAATATTATGGGCATTTAGTGGGTAGAGGAAGCCAAAGATGCTGCTAAACTTCCTACTAACATAAAGCAAAACCCCACAACAAATACTCATCTATTCCAAAGTGTCTCTAATATAGATCCTTAATTTGCCTTAGTTTTTCTGAATATAAAATATAAAAGCACTTAACCCTCCACATTCTAAACAAGAAAAGAAGTCTCCAGCTACAGTCAAATGTCCCTTGCATTAGAAAGTAGAAGCAGGGGAAGATAAAAAGCATAATGAACTTCTGCTCTACTAGAAATACTATATTGTGTCATCAAAACTGATCATTGAGCCAGCGTAGTGGCACACCCATGTAATTTTGGTACTCAGGAGGTTGAGGCAGGGAGATTTCTCCAATCCTAAATAAAACCAATCTGAGCTCCATAACGAGTTCTAGAACAGCCTGGATTATGGAATTGCAGCATACACAAAAATAATAGAAGAAAAACAAGATCCTAGGGATTATAATAAGTTTTAATCTTTATATTAAATAAGGATAACAAATTAAACACTTCATGATAGCTGGAATATCCTAAAACAAGATTTTGAAAGTGCAATTACAAATTGGCCAGTTTCTCTGCAATAAGGTCTGATTTCAGCTGAGTCTCAGCTAAAGCCAAAGTCATCTGCACATAACTGCTGCCATTCACTTTCAGATTCAAGTCCTTTATCATTCTTTCTCTCTGCACTTCCTGCTTGTGCAGACAGATCTTGTCCTCTTCCTCTGAAGCAGCTGCAGGACTATTCTTTGCTTCATTTGTCTTATGCATAGCTCCATCTCTAGCATACTCAAAGGCAGAAGTGGAAAGAGAACAAAAGGTAACTAGTTCCTTCTCCAGAGTGTCTAACCAGTGACCCATTAGGAAAGCCTCATTTCCTAATCTCAGATAACTGAAGAAACATCTTTCAGGGAGAACTCTGATCAGTTGGTCAAGACAGTGGAACAAAATTCCCTCATTCCTGAAATAAAAGACAGACATAATGTGACCCAGTTGCAACAGCACACAACAGTCACATGCAAAAGATTACAGCAGTCAATTAATATGCATTCGTAAACACTAAGATGGATAATAAAAGATGCATACTTTCGATAATAAAATTCGGATTAAATCAGTATCCATCTCACTAGCAGTCCGGTTACTGGCCTGACTATGAATCTTTTGCTTAGTAAGAAGAACAGCATAATAGTCACTGAAAATGGAATTCTACACAGGATTGTTATTAGACCACTCACACACATGGAAAACAGAATTCTACACAGCACTGTTATTAGACCACTCAGACACATGGAAAATAGAATTCTACACAGGACTGTTATTAGACCACTCACACACATGGAAAACAGAATTCTACACAGGACTGTTATTAGACCACTCAGACACATGGAAAATAGAATTCTACACAGGACTGTTATTAGACCACTCAGACACATGGAAAATAGAATTCTACACAGGACTGTTATTAGACCACTCAGACACATGGAAAATAGAATTCTACATAGGACTGTTATTAGACCACCCAGACACATGGAAAATAGAATTCTACATAGGACTGTTATTAGACCACTCAGACACATGGAAAATAGAATTCTACACAGGATTGTTATTAGACCACTCAGACACATGGACTCCTCTGAACTGATTTGAACTGGATGTGTGCATTACCTGCAATAGAGTGTTAAAATTCCTTCAAATGTTGTTCTTGGCTCCCAAGAGAAGAGTGCCCCACAATTTCGAAGCATTTTATAAAGGTATATTTCTCTAAATCCATTGATTATTTCACATTTCATATGTTTCAAGAGCCATATCTTCATTAGATTCGGGGCATGGGTAGGCGATGTGACAAGAAAACAATATTTGTGCAGTGCTGCAAGAAGCAATAAAAGATCTTCCATATGTTCTACAAGAAAAACACATCACAGATTCTAGCCTTAAATTCTGTCTAATATCAACCGATTTTCAAAAACTTCTGATTCAATTAAGCATACAATAAAAAAATTACCCCCTCAAATTACCTATTGATTCCTTCTTTGGGAATGCCAGTAGGTGGTTCATACTAAAAAGATCTTGTAGATTAAAATCAAGGCTGCCACATATAACATAATCATACACGGTGTTTTTAACACTATCTCTGTCACTAATGTTTAACAGCAAAGTGCAACACAGTTTGTTGAATACTAGAAGTGGTGAAAGAGATGTGACAGCAGTAATTATGTGGGTAGATTCTATCTTAGATAATTGTTCACAAGAAGAGTTTTCTTCTTCCTTGCTACCAGAGGTCAACTTGATCCTTTTTGTCTCTGGTCCTGTTTCCACTGGCTTCAAGTCTGCTTCTGGAAAAGAATACATACTCAACCTAGTCACCTGACTTTGACACTTCAGAAGCTGAAAGGTGGACCTGTTGCTTTGATCCATTATCAGTGATAAAGTCATTTCATTGGAAGAGCTGCAAAAAAACAAGAATTTGGTTTATTCTGCATGTTCTTTTAAAAGAATCAAATAAATAGTTAAGTATTTACAAAAACAAAAAAAAACAGTTATTGTCTCCTTACCTAGAGAAAATTATATGAATGTAAAATTTGAAAGAGTTGGGAGGAAAAGCTATGCAGACTTGAAAATGTCTATAACATCAAATATATCAACCATACTCCTCGGTAATCCCACACCCAAGAGGAGCTGAGCAATACAAACTAGATTTTCTGGTTTTTTTAGAAAAGGGAAATAACGTAAAGTTGAGTGGTAGGTAGGTGAAGGTATATCTGGGAAGAGTTGAGGAAGAAGGGTTAAAATGATAAAAAATACATTGCAAGTAATTCTCAATGAATTAATAAAATATTATTAAAATAAGTAAAAAGAAATTAGTCATTTTTACGTTCTGGCAATAATTTGGAACAAAAATACCTCTGAAGTAAACCAGTCTTATACTTTCTTGAATAACTTAAAACCTAGCTTTTAAATATAAATTATTTACTTTTAGAAATTTTTCTGACTGATAATCCTCAAAATTGACAAATATAATTCAAGTTTATTTAGGCACTTTCCAACTCTATCAAAATTATTAACCGGTGATGTATCTCAGAGAGAGGAATTTCACCACCTCCTGGGCTATATTAAAGATTATGCAGAGAACTTTACAGTATGAAGAGTACTTTAAAGAAACATTTGTAATAATCATACTGTTGATATTTTGATTTGGTGAATGTCATATACAAACCATGGAATGAGAAAAAGAGCAATTTTGTTGGTATAACTAAGAACTGAGATTTTCAGCACATGGGGAGAAACTGAGACACAAGACTGGTAGTGATAAAACTGTAAAGTCTTTACTCTGAATTAAAAGTATCAGTGTGGATTTACGCTGGGTTTTCTCACTAAGAATAAAACCCCACAGTCAACCAACCAACCAACCAACCAACCAACCAACCAACCAACCAACCAAAGACAGCTCTTATCTCTGCATATCAAAAAAAAATCCCCAGAAACAATAATCCATTCATGTATGAACAAGCACTTTGTCATGTCTGGGCTTTTGTTTCTAATCACAGATCACATTATTTAAGGGCATAAGTATATAACTACTGAAGAGCTTCTCTTTACAACGTTATTTAGGCTGATAAATTCCAAAGCATTTTTACACGCTTCCTGATGGGAGAAGGCATGATCTATTAGGCATTCTTTTAACATAAATTCAAACATTACTCTGACTCAGTCTTTATACCTAGCTTCTAATTTAGAGGGCACAAAGGTGACAGGGAACCGTGTTAAGTAATGAGTTCATCAAAGCCTAGGCCATTAAACTTTACAGGGAAAAATGCTTGGTTTCTTCAAAATATGCATTACAAGAAAAACAACATGCACACAAGAAAGAAGTATGTACAGATTATGAGAATATATACACAGAGAAGGCCAGTTTCTAAATATTATTTGGCCTATGTTTTAAAAGCTTATTTCAACCTCAAGATGAGTGATACATGTGAACATTGTCCAGGAGAACTATTGTTAATCTTTGAGAAAGGCAACCAAACACAATTTTAATGTCTCACTGTGTGTGTATGTGTGTGTGTGTGTGTATGTGTGTGTGTGTTGGAATACTTACATATGTCATATTTGTTTCAAAATGATTTAGAAGGCTGTGAATAAAGGTGTGATGGAGGAAGGTCATTGGCTAATAAAGAAACTGCTTGGCCCTCATTGGTTAGAGGATAGGTGGGAGGAGTAAACAGAACAGAACGCTGGGAGGAAGAGGAAGTGAGCTCAGACTCCACAGCTCTCCTCTCGGGAGCAGACGCCTCAGAGAGATGCCATGCTCCGCTCTCCCAGGCAGACGCACACGATGAAGCAAGCCGCCAGGTTAGACATGCTGAACCTTTCCTGGTAAGACAGGTGCTCACAGATTATTAGAGATGGGTTGATCGGGATATGAGAATTAGCCTGTAAGGGCTAGAGCTAAAGGGCCAAGCAGTGTTTAAATGAATACAGTTTGTGTGTTGCTATTTCGGAGCATAAGCTAGCCATGTGGGCAGCCGGGGTGCTGGGGACGCAGCCCCGCTGCCCATATTACTACAAAGGTGGATATATAACAAGATTAGTGATGATTTGACAATCATTGGAACCAAGTGATGAGAATAGATCATCATGCTTCTTGGTATGCCTGAAATTTTCTATACATAAAAAGCATTTAAAAAGTAATTATTTCAGAATATTAAGGGAATAAAAGCTTTACAATTGTGAGATAATAAAAATTGACCAGGCATACCTAGAAAGAGTAAATAAATGTAAATAAAAAATGTGAAGTGCATAGACTGGAATGAACAGTTGATTAGAAAACTGAGATGAAATTAGTGAATGGAGCAGATCAGAGGGCAAAACCTAGGAGTCAATGAGATGAATAGAAGATATGGAGGTAGGCTAAGAATCACAAAATACAGAATTAACAAGTGTAACACCACTTTTAGCCCCTTTCCAGGACTGCTTAAAAAAAGGTCAATTCTTAGAGCCTGGAAGTATAGCACAAATTCTAATTCTTTTTAATAAAAACCTGGAGTCAGACATTAGGGGATGAGAGCTGAGTGATTAGAGAAGTAGTGCAGTCAGTCACTACAGAGACCATTTATCTCTATCAGTGCTTAGACTGAAGAGACGATCCTGTCCTCTGACTGCTTCAGAATGCATCTTGGACTAGATTCTACAACTGCAACTGTCTTCACCAAACCTCAGACTACACTGTACTCCTGTCTCCTCCTGCCTTATATTCTTCTCTCTGCCCAGCCATATCACTCCTGTCTCCACCTCTCTAACACTGGGATCACCTTTGTGTGAGTTCTGTTTCTCTTATAGACTGGATCAATTTTGAGTAGCTCAGGGTGGCCTTGAACTAACAGGGATCTCTCTGCCTTTGTCTCCTGAGTCCTGGGACTAAAGGTGTCTGCCACCACTGCCTGGCCTCTAGTGGCTTAGCTCTACACTCTGATCTCCAGGAAAACTTGATCTGTTAAAACACAAATAAAATAACACTACAAGGAAGTTTAACAACCTAATGAAGAATATAAAGTGGTGTGGGACAATGGTCTGAATTCTGTCAATTGTATTTTAAATAAATGCTGATTGGCCAGAAGCCAGGCAGGAAGTATAGGCAGAACAACCAAACAGGAAGTAGAGGCAGGGCAAAAGAGTAGGAGAATTCTAGGAAGAAGGAAGTTACTTCTGCAGTCCTGGCCCAGCCACAGAAGAAGCAAGATGTGACTGCCTCACTGAAAAAGGTACCGAGCCATGTGGCTAACATATACTAGAATAATGGGTTAATTTAAGTTGTAAGAGTTAAGAAAAAGTCTGGGCTACTAGGCCAATTAGTTTATAACTAATGTAGACCTCTGTGTGATTTCTTCGGGACTTAATGACTGCGAGAACTGGGCAAGACAGAAACCCCGATAACAATAAAGAAATCCACATCCATCCACATCATGATGAATGAGTTAGAAAAAGGGTAATAGTATAAACCTAAAAAATAAGAAAATGAAGGACTAGAAATTTAAAAAAAATAGAAAAGAATTCAAAATCATAAATTATTAAGACAAAATTATTGGCTGAAAAGTCTAACAAAATGAGCAAAATTCTGGAAAATTGATCATGAATAGATGCAAGATTTAGAATGGAAAACTACTGACAACACAATCGATAAATATTTATAATATCTTAGCATTAAATTAGTAGAAAATATAAGCAAAGGGTTTTTAAGAATAAAATCTGAATTATCCACAACTTTTAGAGAAATTGATCACCAGATTAAAATTATCTCATGAGAAAATTTCAGGTATCCACTGCTTTCCAAATCAGTACAACCAAATGGCAAAGTCTATATAATTTATAATTTGGATTTTATACAGTGTTCCATAGAACAGGAAAAACAAAACAAAACAACCTAGCTTCTTCAGAGGCAGAGCTGACAGGATAGCTTGAGCCCAGGAATTATGGGCCAGCCTAGACAACAAAGCAAGACTTGACATGAATAAGTAAATGAACAAATGAGCAAACTATTACAGCTTTGGTACTAAAACCAAGAAAATATTATTGAAGGAAATTTCAAGCCAACTTCACTCAAGTTCACAAATGCAAATATTTTTGACTAAACATGATCAAACCAAATCTATCATTAATGCAGCAAAATTATATAATGAATTTGTATTTATAAAATTCAGGATTGTAAAACTGGTTTTTTACTAGAAAAAGAATTCACCTAACTCATCGCATGAAATAAAAAAAGCCCCAAATCTGATGATCTATCACCTCAAACAACTTAGAAGTCTGAAACATTAGGCATGGTAACACATACTGGAATCCTGGTGTTGGAATGGCTGGGATACAAGAATCAAGAGTTTGAAGCCAGGCTGAGCAAAACAGAGTCCTAGATCAACTTAGGCTACAGTGAGATCTTTTGTCGTGAAATAAAAAGAAACTCACTAAAATGAGATCAAGTAGAAAACTCAAATTGCTGGGTAAGTTGTTTAAACTCGATACTGTTATAGTCAAATAGACTAGCAGAGTCTCTCCAACTTGTCTGCACACACGTTTGTGGTTTACTGTTTTGGTGGGAAAGCTTTTGGGTAGGCTCCAGAGAGTAGAGATATTGTTTTCCTCTCCATGATTTCAATAGCTTGAGGGAAAAAAAACTTCTATTATCAGAGACATAGTTACTTAACTAAACTTTCTCCAGTCCATGCTAGTTTAAAGTTTCCACATGGTCCTAATTCTTCTCAATGCATTGATCAAAAGTTTCATGTGCTCTTTAATTATCTCCTTCCTGAGAATACTATCTTAATTTTGCAAATGTCATGCTCCTCAAATAAACTCAATGCATTTGCACAAAATGAAGATTTGTAGAGAATTGCAGGCCAAACACATATAGCTACTAAAAAGCAGAAACATGGTAAGTGAGAATTAAAATGTGTTACACAAACCACAACAGATTGGCACTCCAACGTGTACTAGCTAAATCCACATAAAACCTGAGAGGTTTTGGAAAGGAATTCTAGAAACTAAAATTAGCCACATTTTTTTCAGATGGGCTCTGCTGGCAGCATGCTGCAGCTCCTTTAATAGAGGTCTTGCTGATTCAGTGGTAGCAAAAACAAAAACAAAACAAAACAAAAAATGCAGTTTGGAAATGGCAGATTCCTTGGCCATGCTGCCAGCACAAACTCTGACTCTTTAGGGAAGTCCAGCTATGGAGCATTTAAATGAGGTTTGTGAGCAGAGTCCTACAACTTGCTTAATAGCAACCCAGACCTGCTGCGACCCTGGATCTGAGGTGGAGAGAATGGCTCTCAGAGGCAATGAATGGACCTCCAACATGTTCGACTGGGCAGAGCCAAAAGGTAAAGCAACCTTAGTTCTAGTAATGTCACTTTGCATTTTAAGAAGCATTCCTGGACAAAAATAATTACAGATACACAATAAAGACAGATCCAGGAAAAAAAATACTTCTCAATGGGTCATAGTGTTGGATAAATGTATGCAGGCTTAGGAGAAAAAAAAAGAGTATAGTTACAAAAAGAAGTTAATGTTTTTTTTTTTTTTAAATAAGACAAAGTCTTTAAGGAGACAGAGTAAACTTGTAGAAAAAATAATGAGAAAGAAAAATAAGCCACGTAAACATGGACTATACACAGAGAGTCTGGATTATGTTATATTATTGTTTTTTCTTTAAATTTTTGAATGTGAAGGAGCTAAGTACAGAGAAACACTTTATTGTATGGGCTGCTAAGCTAAACCAACATATATATTTTTAAAGGTATCTCGACTTTAAAATTTGAGTCTAAGGATATATTACTTTGGAAAAAGAGTTCTTTTGTTTCCACAGAAGATGTGAACCTATGGACTCCTTCCAGACTAATATAGTTTGATAGACCAAGACCCCACTGAAAGGTTGCTGTGAATACCCCCAGTAAATTACTTCACCCAACAAAAAGCAAAAAAGCAGTTTGGAAAAAACTATGCCCAAATTCCCTAAATAATTATTTATAAATGTTTGCTTACATTTAAAGGGGGATATGCTATAGAGATTTGCATTGGTATGGATCTTGGTTTACTGAAACAAATTTAAGGTTAATTTTGTTATATGTATATTTCTGTTCTGATTAAGGTATTGTGTTTGTTGAACTCATTTAAAATGTAATGTATAATTAAGAAATATAGGTTAATAGATAGTCATCTATAATAGTCAACTTGTAGTCATGCTAGTTAGGTTTTCTAGGTGTATAGATATATATTGCAGTTAGATAGATATTCTTCAAATCTTTCAGAGACCTTCAGAATAAGGCATTTAAAATGTTTTAAGAGCTTAAGACTTTTCATGACAATGAGACACATCCTGGCAGCACCAATCTACTTCAAGAGGATGAATGGCATCAAAAAGACTCCTTATGTAGATTGCTAGCCATTTAGGCAAGAAAATGTTCTTGCCTGGACTGCTTGATGTTATGGTGTATGAACTGAACATGCAGGTCACACAGAGAAATGACTGCTGAACTTGCCTAAAGGTGAGATGGTCCTTTAGGGTTCCTGCTTTATGAAAGAATCTGCCAGACATTCTGCAGGACACAAAAGAAAGTGACTGACAAACTGCCAATATAGGTGAAGCTATCGTTGACATTTCCTGCTTCGTGGAAAAATCTGCTGGATACTATGGGCCTGTAGGCTGAAGATGGATGCCCCAATGGTACAGAAGAACTTTGGGTGACTATCCAGGCAGCAAGATGTCTCTGTCAATTCTAGAGTTTGGGAAGTTGCCTACAATGCACTTCCTGTTTACTTAGGTAATATTATATCCTTCTGGTATCTTTGATGAAGTTGAAGAATAAATTGTTATCATTACAGTTTTCCTTAGTTATGATAAAAGATAAAGTAGACATAAGTATCGTAACTATAATTCTTGCTTGATACCTATTTTGTTAGATGTAATTTTACTATATTAAAGTTAAAACCTTCCTTTTTATATAGACAGAAAAAGGGAGATGATGTGGAAAGTCCTTCTGTGTATGTGTTGCTTTTATTGGTTAATGAATAAAGAAACAGCTTTGGCCTGTGATAGGACAGAATAGAGCTGGGTGGGGAAAACTAAACTGAATGCTGAGAAAAACAAGGCAGAGACAAGGAGACACCATATAGCCTTAAGAGAAGAAAGATGGGAGCTGCCAGCTGGAACCTTGCCAGTAGGCCATGAGTCTTATGGTAAAATATAAAATAATGGAAATGGATTAATACTAGATATAAGAGCTAGCTAGCAATATGCTTAAGCTATTGGCCAAACAGTATTGCAAATAATATAGTTTCTGTGTGATTATTTCAGGAGTCTGGGCAGCTGAGAAACAAACAAGTAGCCTCCAATAACACCAAATTTCAAAACCTCAGTATGAAAATGAATATCTCATTGATTCATTATATATTGAAATGAAACATTGGATGGAGGGTACCCAATAAAATATTGAAATTAATTTTACTTGCTTTTATTTCAATTTTTAATATGGCTACTAGAACAATTAAAATTACATGTGCATTTCATTAATTTCTATTAGACAGTGTTGGTATGCAGTATTAATACAGAATTATTACATTAAAATTTACTTACGGGTTCAAAGATGTGACTTTCAGTCCAATCACTAAGTCATCATCTAGTACACGACACCATGTCTGCTTTACAATATGTTCTGGCTCTTGAAAATTCTCTGATAACTTTTCCTCAGGGGTATGGATACTGCTTTCATCTTCATCACAGAATGGAACAAGCTCATCCTTAATGAAAAAAGTGTTAAGATAGGTGACTACAAAAAAAAATGCACTGAATGAATCAACACGTATATAAGGGAGATTAGCTTTGTGGCCTTATGACATTAAGAAATGTGCACAGCCCGAGACCAATAGACCACATGCTTCCCAAGATGGCTATGAATGCAGCCCAACACATTTGTAGATGATTATATAATGTTGATGTCAAAAGGCTGCCAAAACACTACAGAAGCATTTTTAAAATAAATTATAATACAGTATTATAATAATAAAAATAATATAATAAAAAGTTATAGATTACATATAACTTACTAAAATAAAAATTCATGAATCATAACAATATACTCAGGTCAAGAATCCTAACTGGAAGATAAGCTATCTGATATAGAGCCAGTGGGGACAAAAAAAACAGATTTTAATAAGGTTCGATAATATACACCACAAGTATAGTGAAAACAATCAATCTGGAACTTGCACTGAGCTTAAATCTAAAAGTCTGAATTAATAAAACTGATTAAATTATCCTTTATGGGTAGTTTATAGAATTCTGCTGAAATTTTATGGTACTGCATAGCCCATTCTCATGTCATTACCATAAACACAGGACTATAATAACAATTGAAACCACAGAGTTAGGGGAAATAACTGTGTTACTTATCGAATCTTTATTTTTATGTCTAAATGCCATTTGTACACCAATCCTCACAATAACCATAGCATCCTTTGTTTGTTGTATTGTTCTCTACAATTTATAGATAAGACAAACTCTCTGAGTTACAGAGAGGCAAAGTAACTTGCCAGACATCACACAGCTACAAAGTGGCAGATCTGGGTTGAAACAGACTGATATTGTCTCTTTAAGCAAATGTTTTTCAATATTAAGAAAATCTACCATTACCCTGACTGCAATCCAGTAAGTGATATTTTCTACTATACTCTAATTTGAACAACTCATCAACACATTGCACATGATCAACTGACTAAATGATAAAGTAGTCACATGATTAACTTTACCTCCTCATCGTTTGACGAAATATCAATGTTCCCATAAATTGAGTTTAAAAGAATCTTCCAAGAGTTTGCAATAAATTTATCCTTAAATGAGATATGCTTCTGTAATTTGTTAAGATAAACAAATGAAGCCTGTAAAATAGAAAGAAAAAAGTTACCAGAGGCAGTTCCAAATGAAACTGGACATGTCAATAATTCAGGAAGTACTTTCTGCAGATAAGCTCGGCAGAAATCACTTTCAAAGAGAAACTCTTTTGTTTTTAGATTCTGTTTCTCTTACAAAAGAAGTGCTTTGTGCTCATAGGAAGACAGGGAAGTAACTGCTGTGGACTCTATGCACCAAACTGAACATACTGATACAATTGTATCCATTTCAATGCTGAGTTAAATAATATGTATCGCTTCGAATAAAACTGAGTTCTCCCACCTAACAATAGCCACAATCTGTTTTACGGTGGTTTGTTTTCCTAGTAAACTCAAAACAAAAACAAAACAAAACAACCGAAAACTATTGAAGAAACTAACTTTGGCTCAGAACAGGGAATAGAGCATACATTTCTTTTATTGTGCAAGATAATTAGATTTCAGTTCCAAGGATGAAAAAAATCGTAGAATATATTTTGCTACTAAAAGTGTAAATAGTCTTGTTGAATTGACTTAAGTTGTTTTATTTTAGGCAGACATGTGAGGCTGTTTAAATATTAATCTAGCTTCTAATAAAATGTCTTTCCATATTTAAAAATCTTTTGTGCTCCATTCTTTTGAACAGAACTTTTTTTCTTAATCAATGACTAGAAGTTGGAGCAGGGAGTCTGAATTATTTCTCTTACCTCATTATAAAAAGGGCGTAAAGAGTAGCTACGATTTTGAAACTTCTCATGCTGGCCTCGTTCTACTGGCTTCATAGTGCTCATATTCCATTACTCATGGACTTGGTAGCTTGTAATTTGGATACGAGTAGATGTACACATTCAAGGTGGGCTGACTGACAATAAACTCTCTGAAATTAGCACTGGCCTCTCCCGGTTCTTTCTCTCATCATGTCCTCTGTGCTCCAGGAAAAACTAGCAAATCTCTAGTTTAAAATATTGTGAAGTTTTTTTATTAAACCATAAAACTAAACCAAGCTCACTGCAAGAAATTTAGTCAATAAAGTATTCCCCTCTTTTTCTTATACACATAATCCTGCAACCAATAGACAGATGGCTTACCTTTCCAGAATTTTCCCATATATGTTAAGGACTATTTTCTTTCATTTCCTTACAACCAGAAACTAGAACAAAAACCCAGTTTAGGGACAACATACCCTGCTTGACACTGAGCCTTGATTTAATATTCACAATAATATTAATATTATTGTGAGTCCTACTCTACAAGTCCCAAATGCCAAAATTTGGAAAAGTTTGAAGACTAAAAATGATGTCAACACCCACAAAACTATATCCGAGTAATGGAAGCACCCTGGAAGCTGCCTAGGAGACCTAAATAATCACAAATGTCTTTTTCTAGCCAGAAGGCAAGACTACCTGCTCTTACCACACCTTTCTTGCTTGTCTTCTGTGTTTACCATCTTTTCTACATGTCCGTAAGGGATGTTTTCAGTCTTGTATGTTTTCTGAGTATTTCTTAAATTGAATCATTTTGTGCACATCAGATTTTAAAGTTGGTTATGTTGCCCCTAACAGCTGTAGATCTTTCCTTTTCAGTGACCTACAGTCCTCCATCACATGACCACAATGCACTCCTGTTGATGAGCACTTGTGTTATGTCAAAGTCTTGCTACATGCTTACAACTTTCTTCAAGGTATGAGTCTTCCCCGTTTCCCTGCTGATAATTATGTTGGTGCAATGGACTCTCTAAGGCACTTAATCTTTCTGGGTCTATGCATCTCATCATGTATAAAATGACAAGTGGGGGAGGAATAGTTAATCTCTAAAAGACTTTCCTCTTCCCAGATGACCCTGGCTTCTGTCAAGTTGATAAAAAAAAAGAAAAAAAACTAATGAGCACAGGATCTGTGAGGGTATTTTCCAAAATAATAAACTAAGGGGGACAGGAGCCATTCTGGATGTGAGACAGCTTCCATCACCCCGCAGGCTAAGGGTATGATGTTAAAAGGGGAAGGAAGAATCACACTAACACAAGCATTCTCTCTCTGCTTTCCAGCTACCATGAGACACCTCGTGGCTACCATGTGATGCACAGCTGTTCTCCACCACACTCCTGCTGTCACAATATTCTTCCTCATCTCAAGCCCTGAGCAACTGCAGCTGGCTAGCCAAGAATGGAACTATCTGAACCTGGGATCCAAAAGACATCCTTCCCTTAGGGCAGTGGTTCTCAACTTTCCTAAAGCTGTGACCCTTTAATACAGTTCTTCACGTTGTGGTGACCCCCAACCACAAAATTATTTAGTTGTTACTTTATAACTGTAATTTTGCTACTGTTTTGAGTCATAGTGTAAATATCTGCTATGCAGGGTAACTGATAAGCAGCCCCCGTGAAAGGGTCATTCAACCACCCCAAGAGGTCACATCCCACAGACTGAGAACCAGTGCTTAAATGCTCTATTAGGAACTCTGTCAGTAATGAAAACTAATACAGTGCAATAAAGCTGGTGTATTTAGCCAAAACTAATAGTTCTCTTACAGGAATTATTGAGAGAGTCTCTTCTATGCTGGTTTGGAATGTGGTATGTATTGACCTTAAACTCTTGTTCCCCTTAAGTGCTGGGGTAACAGCCATGTGCTACCATGCCTAGCTTTTGTAGAGTTTATTAGTGAAACACTGAGAGTAGACCGTTACATGTCTGTTAATGTGCTACAACCTATTAGAGTCACTGCCATTCTAAGAGAGATGCTGTGGCATGCTGATTCTATAGGTCAGGCTCCTTTTAAAACTGAGCTTCTGCCAATTTCATTCATATAGCTTGTTAATCTTACCAAATCCTACCACTGAAAGTTGTCATTTCCAGACAATATACTTACATGTAACCTCACAATAGTTCGGGTTATTAATTTTGAGACAGTTCTTGCTGTGTTGCCTAAACTGTCCGGGAACTGTGTATAGCCAAATTGGACTCAAACTAACAATTAGCCTGCTTCACCATCCCAAGTGCTAAAAGCACAGGCCTGTAATACCACACTCACCTTCATAATATTAATAGTTTTTACAGCAGTGCCCAAAACCTAGAGCTCTCTGAAATACCCCTTTCTTCTAAACACAGAGTTGCTGTATACTGTAAACATCCCTCTACATTATTTACTTCAGTTAGAATTCGTTAATCAAAAAGCAGAAGGAGACAGCAGACAGAGACACTAACTTCCAATTGTGCTTCCAGTGCCGGAAGCACCAAATAATAATTTTCATGTTCCTCTTCAGCAAAAGGGTCTTCAATGCAATAATCCACTGGTTCAGTCTAATAACAGGAAAGAACAAGAAAAGAATTTAAAATAAATTGAAAATACAGAGGATTAAAAAATACAGTCACTATTTGTCCAAAGGGTAGTACTATGTTAAAAAATGTATTTTCCCCATCTGGGAATTAGGTGAGTATCACTGTGGGTCCTAAAATTTGTATACTGTATCACAAATTGGTAGGCTGTATCATTATTCTCAATAAAACCCTAGGGCAAGCAACAATCATCTTGATTTTACAAAAGAAAAAAAATGGGGAGATTCTGATTCTACTTAGATCTGAAACTTTGGGGAAAATCCTTTCTCTTATGATAAAGACTTCCAAGACCACTTTAAATCTTTTTTGTATTTCAAAACATTTACATTAATGTTTTCTGGGGTTGGATGTGTTCAACAGCATGTATCTTCACATGTATGTGGAGCTCAAAGCACAACCTGTGGAAGTCAGCTTCCTCCTTCTGCCATGTAGGTTCTAGGCATACAACTCAGGTCATCAGTCTGGGCAACAAAGTACCCTTACCACTGAGGCATTTCATGGTCACTTATTTCCTCTTTTAAGAAGTAGTTATACTTCCTTTTATTCCTTAATTAATGCAATATTGTTTAGTGATACAAAATGATATTTCAGAAGCAACAATAAAGTTCACTTATGGCATTCCCATCATTTGAGTGACCCTTAGATATATCACAATACATGTTTATAAGAAAAGGATGGTCAACTTATACACCCTTTGTTGAAAAGGACAATGTACACATTTAAAGAACTAAGTCTATATACTTTTAAAGTATGAAATAATTTAGATAGAGGATTTAGATAAAGATAGAAACTATTTATTTAGATAGAGGACCAATCTTTTAAGTAGTAAAATGGCTCTTCAATTATACTATATGAACAGAACTTACCAAAAAATTTATTCTGACAAAATCTGTCATAGCAAATGAAGTCAGCTGATCTGTGTTCAGAGCGGCATCAAAAATGACCAGTAGTTGGTCAGTTCCAACTCCAACAAAGTCATTTATCAAGATTAAGCTAAGTTGTTCCCACCTAGCAACAACCTGAAAGAATAAGAACATTACAGGAGGGATGCAGAAAGGAAAAATAGGAACCAACTAGTTAGTAAGTCTCTTTGTTCCATGCAGTTATAATCTGTTAACCTCATTCTTGTAGTAATAAGGGTGGCGGGGCTGCGTTCCCAGCACCCCGGCCGCCTGCCCGGCTTATGCCCCGAAATAACATCATACAAACTGTATTTATTTAATTACTGCTTGGCCCATTCTCTTCTAGGCTAATTCTCACATATTAATTTAGCCCATTTCTAATCATCTGTGTATGGCACCCCAAGGTGCGCTTACCAGGAAGCTAACCTATGTCCATCCTGGGTTGGAGCTTCATCCTGGGAGCGGGAGCGGGGCATGGCGTCTCTCTCAGGCGTCTGCTCCCGAGAGGAAAGCTGTCGAGACTCTGAGCTCACTTCCTCTTCCTCCCAGTATCCTGTTCTGTTTTCTCCTCCCACCTATCTTCTAACTAATAAAATGGGCCAAGGCAGTTCCTTTATTATCCAATGACCTTCCTCCATCATTTCCCCTTTTTCGGTTTAAACAAAAAAAAAGGCTTTAACTTTAACATAGCAAAATTACATATAACAAAACAGTTATCAAGTAAAAGTTACAATAATCTTTATCATAACTAAGGAAAACTATAACTATAACTAACTATTCTTAACTCCATCAAAGACTCCAGAAAGATATAATATTACCTAAGTAAACAAGAACTAAGAAACTTCAAACTCTAGAAATGACAAAGACATCTTGCTGCCTGGACAGTCACCCAAAGTTCTTTTGTACCGTTGGGGCATCCATCTTCAGCCTTCAGGCCCATGGTATCCAGCAGACATTTCCATAAAGCAGGAAAATTCAAAGTCAGTTCAGTCACTATCTGTTGTGTCCTGCAGAATGTCTCGCAGACTCTTTCATGAATCAGGAACCCTGAAAGATCATCTCACCTTAGGCAAGTTCAGTAGTCCTCTCTCTGCGGGTTCTCTGTGTCCAGTTTATGCAGTAGTCCAGGCAAGAGCAGTTTCTTGCCCAAATGGCTATCAAACTCCATAAGGTGCCTCTTCGATGCCCATCTTCCTCTTGAAGTACATTGGTGCTGCCAGGAGCAGAGTGTCTCATTGTCATGAAAAGTCCTCAGTTATTAAAACATTAAATGTCCTATTCTGTAATCTTTGAAAGACATGAAGAATGTCTATCTAAAATATATCTCTATATATCTAGAAAATCTAACTAACATGACTACAAGCTTTACTATTATCGATGATTATCCATTAACAACCTATATTTCTTAATTATACAGTACATATTTAAATGAACTACACAATCACAATACCTTAATCAAAATCAGAAACACTTATATATATAACAAAATTGACCTTAAATCTCTATCAATAAAGCAAAATCTATACTAATGTAAATTATTCATATCTATATCATATCCCCCTTTAAATGTAAAAGAACGTTTATAAACCCTATTTGGGAACATGGGAGCAGTTTTTTCTCTCCAAACTGCTTCCTGCTGAATGGGGGCGTCGTTAATTAGGTCTTTCACGGTATAACCTGTGTGCTAGTTTCATCTCAGTTGGCAGTTGAGTGGAGCAACTTTTTGAAGGCGTGCACAGGAACCATTCAGGAGGACGTGCTCCATCATACCAAATCGGAATAGAAGAAATGAACAGCGTCTCATCCTCTGTGAAAACAAAATAAGAAACTCCTTTCCAAAGTATCATATCCTTAGATCCAAACTCAAAATATCTATGTTGGATTAGTTCAGAAGCATTTATAAATAAATATCTTTTAGTAGCTTTTGCTCTTTCCTCAGCATTCAAATAATTCAAAGAGAGCATAATAGCATACAGTATCAAAATTCTCTGTGTATTTTCCATCTTTGAGCAGCTTTGTTTTAACCTCTATTTTGTTTATTTTTACTTTTAACTCTTTGCTTTTTGAGACAAGTTTTCTGTATCTTTGACCTGAAGTAACTCTGTAGACCAGGCTGTCTTTGAACTCTCAGAGATCCGCCTGTCTCTGCCTCCCAGGCATTGGGATTAAAGGTGTAAACTACTACACCTTGAACTCACAGAGATCTGTTTGCCTCTGCCTTCTAGGCACTGGGATTAAAGGCGTGTGCTACAACACACAACAACTCTCTTCCTTTTTTTTTTTCTTTTACTTTAAGAACTTCAACTTTTAGTCTGCATATATTTTTAACACACTTTAAACCATTTAAAAATTTTCTCTGTCTTTGAATCTCTCTTTACTGTATATCTCTCTTTTTCTGACCACACGAGTCTTTAATTTACCAAGCAATATCAGTAGGATTAAAGGCGTGGCTTTGCCGGCTAGATGTAGCCCATTCCTTAGCTTTCCAGCCTCATGGCTGAGGTACTGGCTGTAGCCATGTTTATAGCCACAACTGTATGGCGTTTCAAGGTCCCTGCCAGCCAGCGAGCTACAACAGACAACACTCAAGTCCTCTCTCGGTAGCCGGCCCTCCTGCCTCAAACAGTCAGAGTTTGCCCTGGCAGGATGGCCCAGAAAGCTGGCATTTTTAAACGGTGCAGCTTTTTTCCTGCTACGGCTGAAAACCGAAAAGCATGCGTTCAGCTTTTCGTCAACACCGTTTAAGTGTTTCGTGGCAGGACCTCTTAATGAGCTGCAGGCTTTGCAGCTAAAGCTGAGTCAGGAAGCTTCTCTTAGAAGAAAGTGCATGCTTGCCTCTAACAAGCAGAGCAGACCCGAGAACACAGCGAGTCTAGTTGCCATCAAACAAATCGTAGCACTTTACTCCAAATGCTCTATTCAAAAGCTCTGTCTCCCATAGGAGCCAGACAGAGATCTCAATGGCGGCACAGCCCCAGGAAGTCGCGCTTTAAAATGACACAGCGTTTTTTCTGCTACTGTTGCCGAATCAGGAAATCTCTCTACAGCACGCCACCAACAAACAGCAAAAATCTGTGTTAAACTCTCTCTCCCTTATTTTTAAGCCTTCTCAGGTTTTTTAAGTGGCTTTAGGCTGCCCCACGTTGGGTGCCAAATGTAGTAATAAGGGTGGCGGGGCTGCGTTCCCAGCACCCCGGCCGCCTGCCCGGCTTATGTCCCGAAATAACATCATACAAACTGTATTTATTTAATTACTGCTTGGCCCATTCTCTTCTAGGCTAATTCTCACATATTAATTTAGCCCATTTCTAATCATCTGTGTATGGCACCCCAAGGTGCGCTTACCAGGAAGCTAACCTATGTCCATCCTGGGTTGGAGCTTCATCCTGGGAGCGGGAGCGGGGCATGGCGTCTCTCTCAGGCGTCTGCTCCCGAGAGGAAAGCTGTCGAGACTCTGAGCTCACTTCCTCTTCCTCCCAGTATCCTGTTCTGTTTTCTCCTCCCACCTATCTTCTAACTAATAAAATGGGCCAAGGCAGTTCCTTTATTAGCCAATGACCTTCCTCCATCACATTCTTACAAAAGACTGATGAAAGTCGTAATACAAAAGCTAAAGAAAAAGCTACTACAGGATCCAAAACCATAAGAAGCTAGGACAACTTTGTAAATAGCAAGATATTTATGTCATATTTTATTAATGCTTATCTAGAGAAGATCACGGTTCTGATTTCTGTATTCAAATCCTATGATCTATATACAAATTCAAATACTTCTCATAACTAAGACTTTGGGAGGCCTAACATCTAGTATGGATAATTTAAGGATGACCCTATTTCCCATAAGCCTCAGGGGACATGCTGTTTCCAATCAGAGCAATTCCCCAAGGAATTCCGTAGCACTGGATAACTGAAAGGTACCAGTACATTTTGAAGAATTCTCAAAGTAGAATAAGCTCAAGATGAACTTAACAGCTTACCCCCAGTAGCAGTGGCACAGGCATTATTATTATCAGGGACACAAAAGGAAATGAATGGATCCATAACAGCAGGACACCTAGAAGCATTCTACTTAAATAGAATGATTTGTTAAGTTTATAATAGAATAGGAGATGGGGAGTTTAAAATAGATGCCTTAAAGGTCCATAGAGCTAAAAACTTTAACATCACGTGTATCAGATCACCTAAGGCAGAAGAGCTACACTTCCTACCCAGAGTCCACGGTTTCTAGAGGACCCAGGAATGTGGCTTATACTTCAGAAAGAATGTAAGTAAGGCACTTCAATCTACATAATGAAATACCAATCCTGGCTCTACAGGATTAATTCCCAAATGTGGCTCTTCACTTGGACAGGGAGGCAGCATATCTCAAAACCCATATGTCCCCATACAATTATGGGGCATCATGAACTACAGAAATGAGAAACTGGCAATCAAAATTTGGTTAACATGTTCAGCTCATGTTTACGCAGACGTGTGGGTGAGATTCTGACATTCCTAGGACATGGAAACATCAAAGAACTATGCAGAAATGTACATGAGTGTTTGTAAAGAATATCTGTCAAAAAGTACTATTTAACACAAATACATGTGAACCAAAAATGGGAAGCACACACATAATTTTAAACTATCAATAAAAATGTAATAGTCATTTCTCAATGTAAGTGGAAGAGTAGCTCCTAGACCCTCTGTAGATTCAAGACTGTGTAGACGTTTATTGGTTTATAATTTGTATATAATATTCAACTAAGCATAGTGGTGTATGCCTTTAATCCTAGTACTGGGAAGGCATAGGCAGGAGGATTTCTGAGTTCAAGGCCAGCCTGGTCTATGTAGTGAATTCCAGGACATTCAGGACTGTTACATAGAGAAACACTGTATTGAGAAACCAAAAACAATAAAAACAAGAATGACAATAATAATTAATTTACCCATATCCTGCCATATGCTTTAAACATCTCTAGGTTATTTATAATGTCAAATATAATATTACAGTGGCGATACTGTACTTGTTAGGGCATAGAGACAAGGAAAAAGGTTATACATGTTCAATACAAACCCTAGTTTTTGTCAAATATTTTAAATTGCAGTTGGCACAATCAGTGTTTGCAGAACACTTAGATATGGAGGGCTAACTATTTAACACAGTATATTCAGAACACTGCCACTGCAATTCAATACAATCAACTAAGAATCAAAATGTTTTACTGAATTTTTATTAAAATATTTTTTTCAAAGACAGGCTCTTACTAGTTTGCCTTGATTTCTCCACTGTTGGCATTATAATATGGCACCATACCTAGCTCTTTACGAAGTCTGAAATCTCAGGTTGACTTGGCATTTTTAATATATTTTAATTCAGACCACTCATTTCAAATACTCCATAACTTTAAGGCTATTAGCTATATTTAACAGTACAATTACAGAACATATGAATCTCCTCTATTGAAAACACAAATATCTGTGCCTACCTGACAATGGCCTCAAATTTGAAATGGTCACTAAACAGATTCTTGTCAAAACGTGCAGAGACAGACAATTTCCACTTGAGAGAAAGCCTAAGAGAAAATGTAGTCCTGTCACTGAACTAAATATCTCTAAGGCTTTTACGAAGGGCTAGTCTGGGAGCATGATGAGATTTTCTTTATTTACTTAAATCTATGCTTGTATGTATTTTTGTAACCTACCTCAATTCCTTCTTGAAATGAAGCAGAATATACAGATTCATACCTTCCACAAAGAAATGTTACTTTCTATATAGGGACAAAACTGTTATTAGCCGGGTGGTGGTGGCACACGCCTTTAATCCCAGCACTCAGGAGGCAGAGGCAGGTGGATCTCTGTGAGTTCAAGGCCAACATGGTCTACATAGTAAATTCCAGAATAGCTAAGGCTACACAGAGAAAACTTCTCTTGAAAAACAACAAAGAAAGAAAGGAAGAAAAAAAGGAAGGAAGGAAGGAAGGAAGGACGGAAGGCAGGCTGGAGGGAGAGAGGGAGGGAGGGAGGGAGGGAGGAACTGAGGGAGGAACTTAGGGAGGAAGGAAGGGAGGAACTGAGGGAGGAAGGAAGGGAGGAAGGGAGGGAGTGGGGAAGGAAGGAAGGAAGGAAGGAAGGAAGAAAAACCAATCTTTGACAGATAGCCGGGGCACACACCTTTAATCCCAGCACTCTGTAGGCAGAGGCAAGTGAATCTCTTTGAGTTTGAGACCAGCCTGGTCTACAAAGGGAGTTCCAGGACAGCCGGAGCGGTTATACAAGAGAAACCCTGTCTTGAAAAAAATACCCAACTATTAAAGAAATAATTTTATTATTTAATAAAATATTAATTCTACTATCTAAAACCTTTCATGGAAGGTCATCAATAGTAAAGGCTTGGTATTCAATATTAGAAAATGTTTCATTCCATTTTAAATCCTACCATGTTTATTGTTTTGTCTTAACTACTAAGTATAATTGTTCAGGTATAATAACTGTACTTCTAACTTAGGTATTGCAATATGATCACATTGATAAAAATGACACATAGAATAAATGACAGATAAATATAATTATAGTTATATATTTATGCTTCCAAACTCAAAGGCTTTATGACTTCAAACACCAAGGCTCCAAATCATTATCAAGTAGAATTCAGACAATTTCAAGAACAAAAAACAAAGACGAAACCAGAAAAACAATGAAACATCTACAAAGCCTAACGCTAAAAACTGACTTACGAAAACAGGAATGCTTAGAAAGTCTACGGAGAGTTGGACATGATGGTAGCACAAGGCTGTAATCCTAGGACTCCTAAAAGTAGGATGGAAACTCTCCAGCTCTCTGTACTAGCTCTCTGTACTAGCTATTAAGACCCAGCCCTGTTTCAAAAAACCAAACAAAGCAAACACAGGAAAAGAAAAGCCAGAGACGACCAGCTGAATTATTGTTAAGATTAAGATCAAGCACTGTACCTTAAATTTCTTTTCTGAAACAGCACAAGCCTTGGAGTTGAATGACACGATGAAAAATTGGTTTCTTTTGCCTGAATCGAGAATCTGAACGGAACAAGGATCTACAAATGGAAGCTGGCATACTCGTACAGGAATGCCATTTTGGAACAAAATGAGCTGGTTCTTTTGTGTAAGGGCAATCAGAGCCATTCGTAGCTGATGGTCGACCATTTCAGCAGCACGAACATGCACGTGAGTTATAATACTACTATAAGCAAGAGGGATAAGGTAACTAGTGCTTAATTTTTCTTGAGTTTTAAGGTCATATGCACAAAGGTTGGAATCAGAAAATTCACAATCTGATTCTGAAAACTTATGGGTACCAGCCGCAGGTGGTTCTGCTAGCCCCAAAAATCCTACACCAAAATTTTTGATCTCACCTACCCACTCAATGGAAGAAAGAGTAGCTGATATGTTGGTAACCTCTTCAATTTGGGAAGAAATATAGAAGAATTTGTTGAGATATTGCCAAAAAATTATAGGACCGTCAAAGATCTTTAAGCTCTCGTCCAGCGCATGATCGAGTGTAAAACTCAAATGTCTTTCAAATTTATTCACATTGTGAAGAAACAGTATACAATATTTGAAGTCTCTACTATTATATTTCTTATATTGTATCAAAATGCAAGGGAGGTTAATTCTAGTTTTGAAATCTGACACACATTTACAAGACAGAATTTTTAAATGTGAAGCTTTCTCCTTAATCCTTAAAAAACCCGTGGAGATCAGAACAAAGGTTCCTTTTTCTCTGTCAAATATCATCCTTTTGACATATAATGCAGATGTGTCTGTAGGCATTTCACAATCTTCAAAATAGTCTTTGGACAAATGAAAAACAAGGACTTCTCCATTATAAGACAAGAATTTTGCTTGCTCATTAAATGGCATTTCTTGGTTGCCAGCCATCCTAATACATCAAGTCTCTGTGTTGACCCCGTTCCAAATGCAAAGGGATTCCTATTGAGGCCTTTAATCCTAAGGGGGAAACAAAGAAGAAAGACTGAATGGAGCAGGCAGAGTAGAAAGCATATTTTGTTAGAAAATTATCACCCAGGTAACCATATATTTCATTTTAAGTAAACATATCAAAAAACTTCTTATACAATTGTGACACCATTTTACGAAGAGACGGCCTTGCTGTTTAATAGACCTTTGCTGCCCTTGACCTCGTAACCCTTCCACCTCTGCCTCTGGAGTGCTGGAATTACAGGTATGCATTACACACCTGGTGACAAGGCCATACTTACACAATGCAAGACTGTGACTAACTAATTCAGAAAAGAGACCTGAGGGCTGGAGAGATGGCTCAGCCGTTAAAGGCTAGGCTCAGAAAAGAGACCTGAATGTGCTCTGAGCACGGCAAGCTTTATTTAGAAGTTCTATTAAAAGTCCCTTTTATCAGGCGAGTAAAGGTGCTAACTGCACAGGACTGCACAAGCAGAAGGGGCAGACTTCAGGAAGGAAAGAGCGGCCTGCTGCAGGGGTGTGCCTTGTAATCCCAGCATTCCAATGGTGAGATGGGATGCAGAGACAAGAGAACCTCCGGAAAGCCCAAAGGCCACCTAAACCTGGAACGTGTAAAACAGCAGCAGAAACTAGACTGCCCCGCAGGGTAAGAAGGCAAGAAGCAACTCCAGAAAAACTGTCCTCTGACATTCCTTTGTGCGCCACGGCCACACACGCAAAACCACACCCCAAATTTAATTAATTAATTTTTTTTAAAGATTTATTTATTTACTTATACAACTTTCTGCCTCCATGTATACCCACACGCCAGAGGAGGGCGCCAGATCTCATTACAGATGGTTTGGAGCCACCACTTGGTTGCTGGGAATTGAACTCAGGACCTCTGGAAGAGCAGACAGTGCTCTTAACCACTGAACCATCTCTCCAGCCCCCCAAATTTAATTTAAAGGTGTCTGGAGGCTAGAGGTGGTAGACTATACCTCTAATTTACTCTGGAGATAAAATAGGGAGAAGGCCAGCATAGGCCAGAGAGACTCTGAGAGCACTAAAAAAAAAAAGAAAAAAAAATTTCTGGCTCAGTGAATTTTCTACTTCCCTCTGTTACAAATCTACTAAATCTAATCTGGGTTTATCTTAATATCTTTGGAATGAGATTCGGTTAATCGCTGCTTTACTTGTCTTGAAACTCAGACTTCCCTAAAAATGTTGATTGCTGAATTAGTTTGATCCCCACAGCCAAGACACTTGGCCCCTGTTTCCTAAGGCCAAAGTTTGTACAGGCTATATGAAAGAAAACTCTTAAAAACAAAGCTTCCAAATCGCTATAGAAAAAAAAAACAAACAAACAAAAAAAAAGAAATACCTCTTACTTTACAATACATCCTTATGACTGGAGGAAAACTATTGCTATTCAAAATAGGGGGAAACTGAGGGTGAAGACAACTAACTATAATGAAGAGAAGAATTAAGCAACTGTGGTCAATTACTTGTGCTTATTATCTCTGTCTGTTTCAACACAGCACTCTATCACTTCAGGTTTACAACTATTCTCTCAAAATAACCATTCTTCTCCTTCCTTTCTGTAAATTCAGACCCCGTACTTTAATGAAGGTACTGTCCCAAGGTTGCAGCATGGATCCATGCTTACAATACTCATCGGCAATGCTGCCAGCTTTCGAAAAGAATCACCTTGTCTCTTAAGCCAACGCTGTTAATCATACTGCCATGGTAAGCATTTCCCTATTAAGAAAAAACTGCCAGCCAGGAGGTGGTGGCGCATGCCTCTAATCCCAGCACTTGAGAGGCAGAGGGAGTTCGAGGCTAGCCTGGTCTACAAAGTGAGTTCCAGGACAGCCAGGAATGCCTATGGGAAAGCAGAGTGAGAGAAAGAGTAAAATCAACGTGATCAAAGGAACAGCCTCTTAATTCAACAGACATAGGAAAATGTTGTTCTCTCTTGTCTCAGTGGCTATGTTCACACAGAATCACCCGTTTAAATAATGACAACACATGGAATGAATTAAAAACACAAACATCAAATAATGGTATTACTGCATCTGAGTGACAGTCCTAAAATATATGAATGGGGAACAAAGTTCATGATTGGGGGATAATTAATAAGCAATTTATGAAAGAGAGCAGTGACTATAGAATTTAACTTGGCCTAGCCAGGTGGTGGTGGTGCACGCCTTTAATCCCAGCACTTGGGAGGCAGAGGCAGGTGGATCTCTGTGAGTTCAAGGCCAGCCTGGTCTACAAGAGCTAGTTCCAGGACAGACTTCAAAGCTACAGAGAAACCCTATCTCAAAAAACAAAAAACAAAAAAAAGAAAGAAAGAAAGAAAGAAAAAAAAATTTTAACCTGGCAATAAAATGAAATTTGTATCTTCGGAAATTACATTTCTGAGCTGATTCCGGAGAAACAGAACTACTTAGAGCAGGATACCACTACTCTAAAATATATACTGCACTGCTATTTGCACTATAAAAATTACAAATTCAAATGATTACCAGTAGGAAAACAAACAGATGGAACATCACACTACAGTTAAGAGGGATGTATTGCATTTCATATCATGATGGTTAAATTTTAATAAGGAATATGGGTATCAAACTAGGGGAATGGAGGCTAGGGGAGATTTTAGCTATTCAAGTAATTTTGTGAATATTTTCAAACGAGTTTTAGACAATGTGTTCAACTTTTGCAATAAAAGCATAAACATTGGAAACACTGTGGGAAAGATGCTACATGCCTTATTATGGTGAACGAGCTACAGATGAGGGATTTATGAGGAAACACTTGGGTTTTCTATTTTGGTGGAGGGGAAGGGCTGCTGGATTTACAATTTCTACAAGTAGACTTTAGTATCTGTCAATTTTTAAGAAAGGCAGCATTATGTTCAACTAAACCACCACACTAAGGTTTGTTCCAGTACTTTATAAATCTAAGCTTTACCAGCCTTGGCAAGGTTTGCATTTTGCTCTGGTAAGGACTGTGACTTGTCCCACAAGCCTGGCAGCATCCCAGGCTTTTAGCCATTCAAAATCAGATGCACTCCCGTCCCCAAGCTGTGACAACCACAAATGTCACTTATATGGCAGAAATAAGAGCCCTACCCCCACCTCGTTAGCAACAAGCAACCTTTCCTTTTAACTTTCTATAATCACTTCAACTCGAGAGTTCAAAGCCATTTTCCTTGCAAGCGTCTCACTCCACAACCAAGCGTGGTGGTAACACTTGCAGTCTCGATCAGAGAGACAGAAACAGGAGCATGTGTGAGAGTTGAGGCCAACCTGGGCTACAGACAAAGTTCCAGCCAGGCCTGTCAGCACTATAATGCAAGACACTACAACAAAAACTCTTAACAGAAGTCATCGCCGGATATAGAGAACACTCACAATCCAAACCATCCTCGACAGGTCAGGAGACAGAAACAGTTCTCCAAGGCAGCCAAATCGCCATGTTCCAGAAGCACCTATTACTCCAAACCTCCCGCTCGCGCACTGCACGCTGGGACAGCCGGCCCAATAGCTGAGTGAAAAAAAATTAGAAGGCTGAGCCTGATGGAGAAGGTTGCCAGGGGAGACCGGAGCGGGCGGAGCCTCCGAGTGGTGGAAGCTAATAACTGGCCTCTCTGCCAGGGGCTGTGCTTCAGGGACAGCGTCTGAGTGCTCCAGGCTGCTGGGGGCAGGACAGCTGTGCCTGGAGGACGACAGAGGGCGGAGTTTCTGCTTATAGAAACAAGTGGGAGCCTAGCAGAGCACTTATTCCCGCCTCTACCCCCGGACGACAGTAGGGGATTGGACAGTATGAAGGCACTTCCTTCTACCTTCCGGTGTCACGCAACCTCCTCCTCCTCCTCCTCCCTCCCTTCTTAGTCTACCTTTGGGCTGGGTTGGCTGGTGATGAGATACTTGGTTGCCGGCTGTGGAAGAGGCGACAGCTACAGCTACAATCAAGTCCGCGACTGTGACCATGGCCGAGGTGAGCAGCACCGCACCACTGCTGGGTCACCGGACCGGGAAGCTGTCTTCCTGGTCCAGGGTCCGTGCGCTCCAGTGTAGGTGCGCTGTGTTGAGAGTGAGCTGAGTAAAGATCATAAGCATCTATGGTTCTGTTGTGTCTCCCATGCAGAATAACGCTCAGAATAAAGCCAAGCTAATCTCTGAGACCCGGCGAAGATTCGAAGCTGAGTATGTGACAGGTGAGCATGCGTTCTAGGGCTTGAAGTGGGGTGTGCAGAGAGCATATCTAACTTTTGCTAGGATGTTCGGGTGTTTTTGCTGGCAGATGTTAGAGACCTTTTCAACCTTCCCTGGAAAGATGCTGTTCGTGTTTCAAGGGTTTTGCCATGCTGTGTGCTCTGCATCAGACGGGCAGATGGTGTGTTCGCTTCTTTCTTTAAAAGGTTAATGTAAGTTAGAAACCAGAATGTTTAGCATCTTGTGTTCATGGCCCTGGCGGGCCATTTGGTAAATGGCATACTGCAGTTCATGATTCTTGTCTTGGCCTTTCACCAGAAAATAAACCTGGAAACTGTCATTGTACTTTTGCTATACGCTTTGGACATAATTTGGTAATCCAGTTCCCTTTATTTTGCTTAATTCCGCTTCTTAAAACCAAAAGTGCTATTCACAAGTACTTATCACGCTCTGTACTTGAAAGTTTCTGTAAGTCAGAGTTGATTTATTGGTTGAACATTCAGTGTCTCAGCTGTTATAGATACTTGAGTTGTCAAGTACATCTGATCAGTATTTTTTAAACATTTACAATAGTTATAAATATGGAATTTAAAAGCTCAAGTTGCCATCTGCCTTGATTGATGCTACTCTGGACCCTTCCACTAAATAGCTTATTTACATGCTCTGAGTTCCTGCTTCCATATCTGTGAAATGTAAATAAGGTTAGAGGATTAAGTAAAGAAGCATGTTTTAGATTGTCAAGTATGGAAGTAAAAACTAGTCAGTTGTCAATATAGATTTTGCCTCAGTCCTTTGGTTACTGCGAAAGGAATTAAACTTCTGACTTTAGTGCTTACCAGAAGATTCCTATACTTCTATGCTGTTCTGTATTGTACATCAGTTGATGACCTAGAACAAGTAAGGAAATCTGTTCCAAATAGTCCTGTCAGTAAACCTTTTCATACCTCATGGCCAGTTTTCTTCACGCACCAAACTTTGTACCAGAGAGTTGCAAAAGCACTCCACTCGCTTTTACCACTGAGATCTCGCTCGTGTCTATTATCATAGCTGGTTACAGTAAGGCCATCATTGTAAAATAGTGCTCTATATGAACGTAATTCACAGCTACATGGGTTATAGTATACTAAGATGTAACTCATAACTAATGAATTGGTGATTCTATAATAGTCATTTACTTATGCTCAAGGGTTCAAGCAGAAGATAAACTATGTTATGCAATCTCCAAGGTCTTAAAGGTCATCTTGATTCAGTCTTCTCATTTTTTTTTAAATGAGGGAAGCGGAGTGTAGTAAGATTAAGCAATTTTCTCAGAATCCTCAGTGTTAAGAGTTTTGGCCTGGCCTTTTGGATTTCGCTTTAGTAATCTTTCAGCAACGTTGCAATGTCAGATTAAGTCCTGTCACTCCCCAGCCTGAAACCTTTCAGTGCCTTCCCACTGTGTGTATTTAGAATAAAGTTCCAGTTCTTCCCGGTGGCCTACAAATGCAAAGCCATATATTGTTTAGCTCTTGGCTACCTGTCCATCCTCACCTGTTATTACTGTCCTTGCTTAGTGCAGATTTGACCACCCCCTGCATTAAGAAACACACAAATAGCAAGCCAATACACACACACACACACACACACGAAGCAAAAGTTCATTAAAAAATAGTCTAGAAACATGTGGCTGATGGATTTTCTATTTGACTTTCTTTTATAAAATGCAGTGACCCACAAAATTGACATCACACTCCAAAACATGATCCCCAGTTCGATAAATATATCTACACTGCCTGGCTTGTGTTCTTCAAACAGAGTGCTTCTGTCTGCATCTTGGGACCTTTCCATTCCTCGGGGCCTGGGTTGCTCTTCACCAGTTCCTGTGTCTGGTTGGGCCTTTTTGTTTTGTTTTGTTTTTCTCTTTTCAGGGTTTCAATGTATCTGAGAGGCCTTCACTGGTTATAAAGTAGCTTCCTGTCCTGCATACTTTCCCTCCTAGCCTGTAATTGTCCTGTTTGTTTATTGTTCCTTTCCGCCTGTAGATGACAGGTGGGAATAGTTACTAGTAGCAGCCTATGGAAGTTGAAGGCAGATGCTTTATGTATTTTTCTCGCCCCTCAGTACCTTGCAGTGTTCAGTACATAATCATTGAATGACCATGGCACTCCTTTAAGATATGCATCAGAAGATCATTGGAAGAACTGCCATTCTGTGTCAACTGACCTAAGCAGCTCCCCTTTGTTACCAAAAGTCTGGCAAAGAGTAGCCTTCAAATGTTTGTCAGAAAGACAAACTGTTTTTTTTTTCAGAGGAAGATAGTGTTTGGCATGGGGTGGCTTTTTACACTTAATACACACTCTTAGGTATAGGTGAACTGGTCTGTGAGTTATCTACACCAGAGTTGTAAACTAGACTCTATGGGCAAGGCAAGTAGAAACCATGAAAGACTTTCTCACTGGAAAGGTGCGGGTGTACTGTGAAGGCTATTTTAGTTCATGTGGATTCTCCCTTATAAGGTTGCCATTTACAAATTCACCTTGGTAAAGATGATGTGCTTCTTAGTGCATGGAATCCTAGAACCTCAAGAGGCTGAGGCAGGAGGACGTTTGAGTTCAAGGTGAGTAGGAACGAAAGTGAAATCCCATCATTAAAAAACTATAAATAGTAGCCAGGTGGTGGTAGTGCAGGCCTTTATCGCAGCACTCAGGAGGCAGAAGCAGGCAGATCTCTGTGAGTTTGAGGCCAGCCTGGTCTACAGAGCTAGTTCTAGGACAGCGAAGGATATACAATGAAACCCTGTCTTGAAAAAACAAAAATGTGTGTGTGTGTGTGTGTGTGTGTGTGTGTAGAAAGAGATAAAATAAAAAGAAAACCTAACTTTCTGTTTAGAACATCCACTTTTGTTTTTCAGTTTCTATTCTCATTAACAATATTTTGCTTCATAAAAGGTTTAAGGCATACAAGCCATAATGATGTTTTTCCTAAAGAAAAGTTTTATCCACTAGTATCTCTCTTTAGACATTCATATGAAAACAGGTTCTTGGGAATTCCAAGCCCAATTTTTTTTTTGCCTGTTGAAAATATTACCAAATATGGGAAGATTTTGAACAGGCAAAAAGAGGAAAATACGGGTCCATAATTATGGTACTTTTCTCAGTCATTGTTACTGTGAGAAGTTCCATGCTGAGTCTCAAATAAGAAACATTTCCTGTTCTTTTCTTCTTTCTCTTTGTGACAATAATGTATTCAGCTCTGAAAGTACTCATTATCTGTTTAATTCTGCAAATCAAGCTGTCAGTATTAATGAATGATAGAGCCATTTTCCTAATGTGTGCACTCTAGTGGTGGCATTAGGGCAGAATAAACCACTAGATAAGGTGAGCTGGATCCCAAGGACTAAGGACCAAATGAGTCCCTCCAGCACAGAGCTATTCACCTGGAATTCCAGAAAGTGGGAACTGAAAGCAGGATTGGGAATTGAAAAAGGTTAGCCTTGACTACCTAGAGATTTGCCCTCCGCCCTAAACTTCTGAGACCTTTTTTCAAAGAAGCCTGAGAAGACAAAGATACCTGCAGCTTGGTGAGCAGGTTAGTGCTGAGTTCGAAGCAATGTTGTGAAAAAGCTGAGCAGCTCCCAAACCTTAGAAAAGCTTGTTCTAAAGCATGGTGCTAGTGGGAAATTGCAGAATCTTGAAGAGCTATTTATAGCCCAGCCGCTGCTGGCACAGGCCTTTAATCCCAGAGGCCAGAGGCAGGTGGAAATCTGTGAGTTCAAGGCCATCCTGGTCTATAAAGTGAGTTCCAAGACACCTGGGGCCACACAGAGAAACCCTGTGTTGAAAAACCGAAACCAACCAAACAAAAGAAGGACTGACCATCTAGTGAGAGCTCTTGGGAATGGTTCCTTTAAACATGATTATGAAACCTTGGTTCCTTCCTTGTCTTGTTGTTCCCTGACCATGTTGTTATCAGTTTGGGCCTCTTACATGCCACCTGCCTCACATCCTTCCTCACCACAGGTTCAAAAGCAACTAGGCTTACTGATCACAGCCTGAACCTCTGACACTCTGAGCCAAAATAAACCTTCACTCTCTTGATCTCTGCTATTTGTTGTGGTGACAGAAAGCTGACTAACCCAGGTGGTGTTTCTTATGAACTCAGGTGGAACTTGGCCAGGTAGAGAAGGTGATCTAGGTGGGTCAGGCTGTCTGAGCAAAGGCACTGAGGCGCAAAGGTATGCATCTTGTTCAGGAAGCACTGGAAGCTTGCTGTGCACATGGATGAAAACAATAGAAATACAGTGTAGAGAACCTGGAATGTCCCGGTGGTGCGTTATACTTTAGTACGTGTGCTCAAGGGCATTTCTGACCTTAAAGGTAGAGGAATTAATTTAAATAAACTTAGTTGATAGCAGAAAAGTAAAAAAAAAGCCAGCCTACCATCTAGAAATAATTAATAGTGGTAGATTTTCTTCTAATCTTTTGTCTATATCCTTATGAAAGCAAAGTTTAAAGACCATCCTGATTATCATTTGTATGTTACATTTTCATTGACATGATCTTATTCCCCGTTTTATAAAGTAGGTCACATTGTATAGATTTTTTTCAAAAATATTTGAACCTACTAGTAAAACACAATTGTCATTTCATTTAGAGAATCCCTTTCTGCACATCGAGATTACTCCCATGTTTTTGTTAGCACAACTTTATGAAGCAGTTCAGATTACTTCCTTTAGAGTCATGTCTTGGAATCAAATTATTGTTTTCCCAAGTAAATAATTGGGGCCCGTTTGATAATATACATCAAACTTCCATCATACTTGCTGCCCCGGTTGATTTCTGCTGGCCTTGTCTCCCACACCTTAGCCATGTTTAGTGTCATCATTTCTAAACTAATAGTTTTTAAGGTTGCATTTGATTGCTAGTTTGGCTAAACTTCTTTCTGTATGATTATGTTTATTTATACATACACCTTTCTTTGTTTATGTCACTATTGCTGATTTTGGCAGCTTTTTAAACTAAAA